ATTTTCCTCCCTATATAGGCCTTTTTCACAGCAACTATTTCGACATGTCACTTGAAAAGTACTGGGTGTAAATAAATAAAAAAAGAATGATGGCTGAATTCCATTTTGCTGCTTCAGTTTCAGGGGCCTGTTAGCTCACGGACACACTGTCATGGCGTACTGGGACAACTGAATAGAAAAGATCCATTGTTAATGTTATTAGTAACCCCTGTGCTTTTCCGACTATGCCATGTCTAAATGTCTGCTGTGAAAAAGGCTATTTTAAACACAGAAGGAGACCCTTAACTCTGCACTTCTTTCAAGGGATAGTTTGACATTTTTGGAAATACCCTAATTTGCTATCTTGAGAGAACAGTACAGACATGAGAGTGGTGCAAAGGAGATTTAACGTGTTAATTATTGATCTTTAGAGGGGCTGTTGGGAGGATTTTGTTACCTTTGGTCACAGAGCCCAGATAGCTGTTCACCCATGTTTCCAGTCTTTATGCTAAGCTAAGCTAACTGGCTGCTGGCAAAATGTCAAACTTTAAATAAAAATCACACATCCATATACAACTGAGTACATGGAAGCTCACTTCAAATCAACATAAAGAGACTTAACATATGTCAAATGCTCAATCACTAAAGCATGAATAAGGTTTTTTATGGCTATGTTTAGGTTGATGAAAGACTGTGGTGTTACTAAAAATGTGTGACTTAAAAAACGAGATGGGACATATTTACTTTTCAAGTTTTTAACCAAACCATAATCTTTCCTTAATCGTAACCAAATGTTTTAGTAACCTACTATGTAATCGCCTGGGGATTTCTAAATGCAAAGTAGTTGCTTTAATGGCTGCGAGAATGGCCGCTAATAAACACAGGGAGAGCTCTTGGATGTTCCAAGCAATCTTATATGGTACGACCTGATGAGTTAGTTCAACTCAAACTGTTTGAGGAAGCTGATTTCCTTAAACATTTAAATGTATTAACTCAAACTATTTAAGCATGAAAACATTTCTGATTTGAGTATTTGTTAAGGGTAAATTAAGTTAATTGTACCAATTCCATTCAGTAAATAGAACTTAAAGTAGTAAGTAAATTACAGTCATATGCAGCATTTCTCCAAACTTATTTAAAACAGAATTTATCCATTATATTTATCTATATCTATCTATAATAAAGTAAGAATAACTTATCTGCATCTTTATACAAATGTTACCAATTAAGTTTAAATTTACTCAGTTTTCTTCCACTAAAGCAAATTATTACATTACCTGTCAAAACAGCTGATGTATAATAAAAGCAACTTACAATTAATTGATATACTATCAATTACCTGGGCATACAATAATTTATAAACTGAAATAAATATAAAAATTTTAAAATCCTGAGCATTGCCACTACACATTTGTGTAATTATGTAAAGAAAATGAATCAATGAAAATACTGCGCACATTTAAATTTAAGTTATTACTTCGACTTCATTTTTGAGCTGTGTTTATGGAATTGAGTGACTCCACATTTTTTGGAGGATTAAGTTATGTTTACTTCTTTTATTAAGATGTACTGTGAGGTATTACAGTCCACAGTCAACGACAGACTTTGGATTGGTTCTGCAATGCAAGTTTTTGTTTTAAATCACCTACCCAGTTTTAGCATAAAAAGCTAGGAGGAAGTCTTCAGTCCGTATTGTGTCTAGCCAACACCTATCATGTAGGATGCAGAACTCCCATTTCTGGTTTCAAAGTTCTTTGCTTTTTCCTCCTAAATGTATTTAGAAAACCAAATTACTATATGAACGTATTTTGTTAGACACAGTTTTGACATTTTTTAAATGTTGGTATATGACTTGGTTTAAACCTCTACAAAGCTTGAAAAATATTGTTCAAATTTTAGAAAGGATCATAATGAAGCTATAACAATCATTAATAATAATGTATATAACTCTCCACCTTGGCCTCTGTGCAGAGTAAACCTTGAGTGCAGCCTCTGCAGCAGACTCAAGGAGACACCTTCGATGTACCAAGGCTGTGTGTGTGTGTGTGTGTGTGTTTTATCTGCTTTTTTTCCTCATCTCAATAAAAGTTTTGGTTGTATCAGCACAAATTAGCATTGATGGTACCTAGCTAATCTCACACAGCTGCAGAATGGAGCATTAGGGAGAGGGTGCAGGGCCCCGGCCCATCTGTGGAGGGACCGACTCACGGTCCCCTGAAACCAACATCACTTTGGCCTTGTCAGATGGTCCCTGCAGTGTGGCTTTATGTGTGTGTGTGAGAGAGAGAGAGAGCGACAGAGGGAGTGTGCCGCTGTGCATGTGTGTATATTTGTTTGCTTGTGTCGCATTAACTTACAGAAAACCTTGCGTGTGAAATTGCAAACTTGAATGTAGCGAGCTGCTGTAATGGTGGATAAGCAATTCTCTAAAGATGCTCCCCCCCCTCTAGACCCACACAGCTGTGATCAAGGTGCTTTTAACAGAGATGACAAATTATTTTACTGTACAATTCTCATGAATTATAGCTTTTCTACTTGTATCAGGTCCAGAGTTGTCACTTTGCTCCCCCATTGGTCCCTCTACGCTAAATATTGTTCTCGTCAGCTCCCTCCCTCTCCATTCGTCTCTGCAGTGTCCCTTTTGCTTTTCACCAAGTGGCGGTCTGATGCATGTGGAATAGTTTGAGGTCTGTCATCGCTCTTGTTCTTCAGCGTGTCTGTCTCTGTCTCTTTCAGTGGCCTGTGCCCTCTCATGCTGCAAATCAGCAGCTGTTAGCGTTTTCAGACCAGAGCAGAGAGTTAGAAAATGAAGAATGATCTTTCCATTCCACTTAACATTACTGAATGGTTGTTTTACACGCTACACTTACTTGACACCTCTGATTAATAGTGTCATGGAAATACATTTTCAATACAGTGTTTGGCATGCAGAAAGCTGACGTGTTACCATAGCAAGGGCACCATTTCAGTGCACCTGCTGATGACTGTCTTGTTGATTTTTTCAAATCTGATTCCCAGCCATCCTACAGACACACAATAATGACATTATATTAAGATTCAACAGCACTGTACCAGGAAGCGGCCCCTCTACCGGTTCTACATCTATATTCCAGACCGCCGTTCTCTTTAAGCCGTCTCATGTGTCCGTCTGAGTGCCTCCATGTCAGACCTCAGGTGGTGCAGAAGCCCCTCTGAGTGTGGCGCCAGTGGCCGGACAGTCCAGACGATAGCGGCTGATACCCTGTCAACACTGACGGCCATGTCACCAGCACAAAAGAACTATGAGTGCTGCTGTGGCACACTGATGGAAACAAGTAAGTGTTTCATCTGTACAGAGGAGATAGATACAAAATGTAATGTAAACTCCAAAAATAAAATCTACCTTTAACTTTTTAACCCCTTTCTTAAGTGGTTCAAGAGAGCAATTCAATTACGGAGTCATTCAAATGAAAAGAAATCTACGGTACCATTAAGAAGAAGATGTTTCTTATTGGACCTTTTTCCAAAAAGCGTTTTCTAAGGAAAATTGATCAGTGGGACAATATTGAGCTACTGTAAGCGAAAACATGCTGTGAATCGGACTGGTTCGAACAGATTCCAATTCTAGTTTCAGAAATTGACTTAAAAAGGTTGAGAAACGGTAAAAGTATGAGGATAGCCTCCACTGAATTCCCCTTTTCCTTCTTTTGTAAGGTGTCTTTCATTTATGGACTATAATATGCTTAATATGTATGTAAACCAGATTGCTATACTAGTCTACTAGATCTTTACTAGTCACTGAATGTTTACTGCACAATGTAACCCCTTTTTTTTCTTACTCAGCCTCTTTTATTTCAAATAAATAAGCATTACCTTTGCTCCTCTCAATTGCAATTTGATAAAACACTATTGTGCTTCATAAAAGAGGGCCGATGTATCAGAAACAAACAATATAACAAGTGATTTTAGAAACATATTGTATTAAATTTTGCATTTTTCTGGTCCAGTTTGCAACTTGTAGAGTGTGATTTAGAAACCTGAAGCCACCAGTGCACATCCACTGAGAATGGTCTTTACAGTGAAGTAGGAGACATCTTGTGTCCAGCAGGAACACTTTAGAAATGAATGACATTTGCATATTCACAGATTCTGGAATTGTTAATGAGGTAGAAGGGTTTTAAGAATTTTAATGTGGAAATTATACTTTTTGTGGAAAAAACATATCAGATACACATTATTGTTCCTAGTAGACCATTTGTATATATGTCTTAACACATGTTTGGAGGGGATCTTTAAATATACTTACACACTATCTTTTTTAGATGCATAGCACTTAATGGATCCAGTAGACATACACTCACACATGTTTAGCAAGTGGAGCATGGTCTCCATAGACAACACACTGAACCGGGGTCTTTCACACATCATGTCTCTGCACTATACTGCTGGACTGGATATTTTTTTTAAACAGTGTCTTTGTATTTGTGCTATTGTGGTACTCAACTCAGAATCTTATTTGTGGACAACAAATTGCCTTTTAAAGGCAATGCAGAGCAGGCACTCTTGTGCATAAAAGATTTAGACAAAATAAATATGAAAAATCTAAATAAGCGCTTCAGCCTCACTACAGACTGTTTATAAGTCGTATCTTGTACCTCCTCAATCACACACGATGGAAGTGAAAGATGTTCAGTAGACCTGTGCTCCTTTGTTGCAGTGGCTCCGCTGAACTACTTTGGTCCTTCACACTTTTCCCCAACTGTCGAGGTATTCAAACCAGCATCCTTCAGGTTAGTGTGGGCCCAGACTGAGGCTGGAATAGGTCTTCAAAATAAAAACATTTACATCATTTTACTAATATGTGTGCTAAAAAGTTTAACCTAAAGAGACATCACTGTAAATTTGGTTTGCAGACCTCTTTCACCTTAAAGCACCTCCTCTCCTCTCCTCTCCTCTCCTCTCCTCTCCTCTCCTCTCCTCTCTTCTCCTCTTGCCCTCCATCCTCGCTCAGCCCTTCACCATCCACAGAGACCATTAAGTTAATGAGACCTGAGGTAGGGGCGGCTGCAGCAGGCTGCTCCCTCTCTTTCCTCCCCCACCATCCCCTCTATCGCTCTCTCTCTCTTTCTTTCACCCTCTCTCTTATTCTCTCACTCCTGTTCTTGCCACCTCTTCTTCCTTCCATCTCCTTCCTCTCTCTGCCTGTAGATTTATTATTGGACGCCTGTTGTCGTCGCCAAACTTGTGCCACAGCAGCAAAGCTCTGCTACTCGGGTGACTCAGGGGACAGACATTTCATTTCCGCCCTCTTAACGAGTTGGTGGTGAGTGTGTGTTAATATGTGTGTATGTGCGTACGGGAGCTATATGAGGGGAGCTGGTTGATGGGGGGTTGGGGGGAAGCTTCATCGTTGTCCTCCTCCTCCTCCTCCTCCACACTCTCAGACAGAGATAATGGGGGAGCTGATAGCAGCCTTGGAGACTGCTGTGGCTCCAAGCACAGATATGGACCGATAACGCCTCCACCACCTCGCCTGCTGCTGCTGGTGTGTGTGTGTGTCTTTGTGTTTGTATCTGGATGTACGTGTAGTGCTGTAACACAAGTGGTATATACGAATGTGTCTTTGCGTGAGTTTTTCTGTGTGTTTGAGGTTGTGTGTGTGTGTGTGTGTGACTTTGTCTTTGTGTGTGTTTTCTGTATGTTTTGTTTTTGTGTGTGTCTTTCTATGTTTGTGGGAGTTTTTGTATGTGTGTATGCGTAAGAGTACAGCGTGTGTTGCGCTGGTGCGTACGTGTATACCTCGTGTGTGAGTTTGGAAGTGTGTGTGCATGTGTGTGTGTGTGTCCTACATCTGCTCCTGTAAAGCGAGTGTGTGTGGCTCTCTCTGTGTCTCTGCAGCCTCCTTCATCCCACCAGACATTCCTGCCTCCTTTTTATGGGCACAGGAACAGCTGGCCACCCCAGTAGGGCATTCTACAATGAGACAATCACAATATATGAGCCTGGTGCCACACACTCACTCATATACACACACTTACACACACATATGCACAGGAAAGCACATACAGTACGCAGAGACACACACTCTCCTGGCTATTGCTAATATGTTTCCTGTTGTGCTGTTGTGTTACAGCACCATCAGGATCTAACAGCCGGAGTGCAAATGCGTTTATCATCGCTCTTTTCTCTTTTACTTCTCAAGAGGTGAGGAGGATTTTCACTGTTACGGCTCGGGCGAAAGCCATTGCAACAGCCCCAGTGTCCATTTCCGCTCTGACGTTCAGATTTTTTTTTGCCCATTTGACTTTGATGAATGGCAAAAGGCGAATCTTTTCGCTGTACTTCACACAATCTCCTCGTACGACAATCACATCCTGACAGTTCAAATGAGAAAATGATTAATAGGCCTTGTGATTAACATAATGAGTTATTATCCAGGACAGAGAAATTATTTCATCAAGCCAGGCTATATTTATCTTTGTTCACCTATGCACCTGTTCTGCTCATTTCATAGCGTTTTATTGCACGCCAGATTACAGTGTTTTTCCATTCGTGGCTATGTGCTGATTAGTTTTGAACAGTGGCAATATGATTGGATATAAATTGTTTCCTTTTGTACATGAAAATGCATATTTATGAGTGCCTGTTCTCAGCTTGAAATACAGTGTGTAATTAATTTCACAGAACAATTCTTTGCAACACTATCTTTAGAAAGGCTATCTTTAGATAGATGCAACACTACTGTAAAACTGAATGCCAGGACATAAATGTGCCTTCAATTTCTGCCTCTGATCAATTACTGCACCTTGCACAACATACCAGACTGCGTTTATACAGGAAATATGCACTTACTTGTTTGGTTTTATTATTCTGATACAGTATGTATGAACAATTGTGAACTCTGTGGATTTGACTAATTTTTCTCATTAATTTCCCACCAGAAGATCTGTTTTCCTGTCACGCGGAGCACAGCTGGAGCAGCTTTGTCAAATCTGAGGAAAAAAACCTGATAATGTCATCAGAGATATGTGGTCTTGAACTCGCAAACTACACATTAATGACAGAAGGCCTGTATTACAAGTTGGGGGTATGGAGCTTGAAAGACATGGGTGTTTTGAGTTGCATTATGGGAAATGTAGTATCTTGTGTTTTTGGAGCTTAAGCGATGGACAAGAAGTCAGGAGAACTTGGTCTCTGCTGCTGTCACTGTTCATAGGAAGATTGAATGCTATTTTTAGTTACTCTTTGGTAAATAGTTTTTACTGTTTTTGTTTTTACCACCTCTCTCTCACTCTCTCTAAAAGATGTATTATTGTAAACCCTGTACTTTTTCTTTTGTGTCCCTTGCAGAGGAGGGAATACATTGTTCCTTGGTAATGTAAATATGCCTGATTACTGCCTAATAATTAATAATAAAATAAATCAGTCTCTAGAAAGTTGCTGTAACTTTATGGAAGTGCAATAATAAATTGCTGCAATACCACTTTAGAGGCTCAGTGTGTAGGATTTAGTGGCATAAAGGAGAAACTACGGTGGTCACGAAACATCCGTTCTGGGATACGATAGATATAGAAGGATCCTTCGAAGGTAACAAAAACACAACAATTCCTATATTCAGGTAATTATGCAAAACATACCTATGAATATTATATTCCATTTCTGCCAATAGATCCTCCAAAATGTTACACACTGCACCTTTAAAGTTGATAAAACTATGACCAAAACCATATTTTAACCGTAATAAAAATTTGTGCTAATGAAAAAAGAAAAAAGAAAACCAAAAAGACGTCACAATAATGTGATTGTTATATAATGAACATACAGAAATTAAATTTAAACATATTAACTAGAAAAACTTCACCTGCAGAGGAAGATCATGTAAATGCACCAGATAGGCTACTTGATGGTTTTTTACAAAAATTGTGTATTATTATGAAAAAAACAGGATACGACAGTTCATGTGAAAATATACGAAAGAATTTACTTTTCATTGAAAGTCACATTGCTTTGACAGAAAACAAATCTCTTCACACAAACTCAGAGCCTCTTTCCAGCCCACCAGGAGACCTCTCTGTGTGTTTAATATTCAATATTCAATATGCACTGTTTTGGTAAAATGTCCTTTAGAACAGACTTTTTTTAATTTTATTTTTCTTTCTTTCTTAAATTTTTTATCTTTACCAGAACACAGAGCATCAAACCATCCCCACACAAAATTAGAATATTAAGTTTGTAGAATGAACAACTCATTGTTTTTCTTCGTGTCTGTTATGTATGAAAGGTCATTTAAAGACTTTATTTGTGTGTGTGTGTGTGTGTGTGTGTGTGTGTGTGTGTGTGTGTGTGTGTGTGTGTGTGTGTGTGTATGTGTGTGTCTGTGTGCAGTACTGCTGCCCTGTATTCATGCCTGAATCTGTTCATTAGTTGCTTACCAACTCACAAAGCTAAGATAGACAGTGGCAGTACCCAGAATGCCTTGTTCTGGGGAGCCATACGCACTTGTGTTTTGCTAATGAGCACATCCAGGGGACGTTTCTCGTAGAGGCAGGCAGACACACACACACACACACACACACACACACACACACAAGATAGAAGCACACACACTCCCAACTACACAGGACTGACATTCTCCTCACACAACTGCAGAGAAAGTCTCCTGAGAAAGATTGCTGCCAGGCACGAAAATGGAGAGAGGAGAGAGCGGAGAGAGAAAGAGCAGAGCAAGAGGTGAGGGAGAGACGTGTGGGGGAGGAGGAGGAGGGTCGGGAGGAATAGCAATACTGTTTCCTTTCTCCCTTTTCTCTCCACAAGCCTCAGCTGTTTTGTCCTCACTGCTCGTGCCTTCAGTCCTCGCTCCGCTTTGATAGGTTTCAGCGCACTCGACTGTATTGACTGCGGTCTTGGCAAGCACGAGGACAAATCAATTAAGAGTGCCGACTGATACAGTGTCTGAGTCCCCCCCCCCATTCTCAATAGCGAATAAGAGCAATTAAAAGCCGACTGTAGCACATGATGTGACAGTAATGGCCATAATGGATCGTCGTCAAGGTTCAGACGCCAGATAATGTTGTTGTTTATCTAGATGATTGTTGTTGTTTATTCATAAGCTTGGGAATCCGCCCCCCTGACAACCCAGTACCCCGAGCTTAAACACAAACAGACGTCTGTGATATTGAAAGGTGGCCATCTGTCCAATCAGGGAATCAAGTCAATAAGGGGAACCAGTTTGGGGGCGAGACCTGATCTGGAAGACATTAGCATGTGAATTAGTTGTTGACTGGGTGCCAAAGCCAGCAGCCTAATCGCTGCCAACTAGATGACAGCATTCCCCTAATCGATGGCTTGATATCTATATGGAAACATATGGAGGGATCAGGCGCACAGGCTGTGCTGCTTCATTTTGATCCAGTTTGTGCTGAATTTCCGGCTCAGCTTGTGGGAGTTTTTTGACTGGTGCGCACCAGGAAACATTAAAGAAAAACTGACATTTACAGCAATGACAGAAATATGGCCCTTTATTTTAGATGAACTGAAGCATGTTTCCACATACTGCAACTGCATGAAAGGCCAGCGTGCAGTATGTTATCCTGTGAATATTTAGAAGCTTTCAGTATTGGGTTTGTGACACAGTTTCTGCTATTCGTTCCCTTTTTGTGCTTACTGTGTGTATTGGAAGAATTCAGATACTTTAAGTAAATCATGTAAAAGTCATGTATTTTTGTATTATTAGCACAACATACTGAAAATATCAAAAGTAAAAGTACTCATGATGTTTATAACTAGGTACGGGAACAAAGACCACGCCTTGCACTCGTCTCATTTCTGCTCAAAACGTACTTAAGCACACCTTATCCGTTCACTCCCTCCTTGATTCAGTTTCCACATCCCTTCCCCCCCAAACCCTTTCTTTTTCTTCCACTCTCTCTTATCCAAATACAAGAACCACCGGGGCTCTTGAGAAGAGATAAGAAGAGACGGCTCCCGCACTCAGAGTCTCATCACCCACTCGGTTCCCTCCCACCATATTGCCGAACTCCTCCATCCATCCATTCATTCACCCGTTCACAAACCCATTTTTCTTCCATCCGTTCATCCCTCACCCTTCCTTCCCATACCCATTCATCCCTCAACCCTCATGCCTTCATCCCCTTATCCCTCGACCGTCATCCCTTCATCCCTCAACCCTTTCCCAATCCATTCATTCTTCCTACAGAACACACCATTGGTTCACATTTATCCATTATGTGCAATAAACCTCGCTAATTCCATATGTTCACTGGTGTTGTCTTTGTTAGTAAAAGTCCTATTATATTCTTGTACTTATATTATACTTATTGAGTCAACCGCTCCGAACTTAAGTTAACAACAATAACAATGATCTCCAGTGCAAGCAGATTCCTGATGGAGAATTTGTTGGACGAGCTTTCAGCCACAGCTGCTCAAAACAATGTAAACGTTTTTGGATGACTTTACTGAACTGCTTTGCATTGACTTTGACCATATAGTTTTTGTTGATTTTAACATTCATGATGAAGGTAGGGATGGGAATCAAGAACCGGTTCCAGTTTGGCTCCAAATTGTCCAATCCATTGGAAACATACACCACAGATCTCACCAATCCCTTTTATCAATGCCAGCATGTTTTTCTGACAGTTATGCATAGCAAAACAATGACGTCAAACTTGTGTTTCATGCTGCCATGAGAAGAAGAAACAGTTCAGTGAGTGGCTTCATTTAATAACTCCACGCTTTTTCTACACTGTGTTCAGACAGAGAGAATAAAATGGTTACACTGATACTGAAAACTTGTGTTGGGCTTACTTCATCCACGCAGAAAACTGATCAGGAATCAATATGGGAATCGACAAAGAATAAGCAGAAGTGATAATGGTATTGGTATCAATAAAATCTTTGCCCATCCCTTCAATTCCCATCCCTATACCCCAGGACACAATGGAACTTTTATGGACTATGGACTGACCCAAACACAACAAAAGGCACAGTCTGGACTAATCTACAGGGTTGTAACATAAGGCTGTGACTGATGTTGCTCTTACTGATCTTACTGAAAATGTTCAATCAAAGTTAATCACAAATGTAACATCACTGAAAACACAGGTGATTTATTCATTCAGGTTCTCTTCCACACTCACTTACTGGGGTCTCAGTTAATGATCTTGTAGAATTTCAGTTCTAAAATTACAAATGCCATTTGCCCCACTAAGGTAAAGGTCGTTTTGAGTAAGGAAAGAGCACCATGAAGAAATGGCACCCTGGTAACATTTTAAAAAAGAGAGCATCAAAAAGCCCAACCTAGGTGTGCATATATATCTATAAAGAGAAACTTTGCATTTATAATTTAGGATTGAGACAAGACACTGCTTCTTTTATCCACTCATGCAGTAAATTTGCCTCCTTCTTCACTGACACAGTTCAGAAAGTTAGACAAGCTGTCACTTTCTCCATATCAGCTGGGTCTGTATTGTCCTCATGTCCACTCAAAACCAATTAAATTAGCCTGAAACTATTTCTGTCAACCTAAGAGGAGAGTGAGCAACATTTGTAATCCTGCTGCTCCTGTTGCCCTGATATTCTAAAAAAAAAAAAAAGTAACTCCAAGGAATCAGATCTTCTACAAAAAGTCAACTCTTCTCTTCTTTCAGTTGTTTAAGGATTTACTTACCAAAGCAGAGTTGGTGAGTTTTATTTTGTGTCCACTTTGAATGAACTTACAATGTAACAGTATGTACAGTAATATGCAAGATAAAATGGCGACTGATAGTGAAATTATGTCTGTTACTGCTTAAACAAAAAAGTCTATCTCTGCAGGGATAATTTCCTTAATGTTGTCAGACACTTAGATTGACAATGTGACCCTAAAAAAGCACCACTGAAGCCCTTTTAACAATTTTTTACATCTAACACTGTGACTTAAGGGTTTATGTTGACTGACCGATAGTTGGAAAGTCTGTGGAAAGACTAACAAAGACAGTTTTGATGATTATTTAATTTGTGTTCCATTGTTTTGGTCTGAGATGCTGGTGCTCTAGTGCTCTTCCACTGGCAAGTGAATTTCACATTAAGTAAAGAATCTGAATATATTTTCCAACACTGTAACTAAGATGGATCCTGCATTATTACCTCATCGTTTTGGCCCTCTGTTGTTGAGGAGCCCTATATCAAGATCTAATTTTAAGATTTCATTTTAGTTGACTATTTCAGTTATACTGCGCTCACATAGTGAATATTCCTAAATTGTGTTTAATCAAACTGCGATCCAGTCATGCTAAAGGGTATTTCAACCTGCTGTAATATGCATCATAAGATAAATAAGATCATCACAAATTTTTGATGAAAAATCTTGACTTGCAAAGGAGTAATTATAGTTGTCAAATAAATAGAAGTAAAAGGTAGCATCAATTATAGAATACGAA